ATAGCTTTGTGGTTAAGAACACTGGCTGCCCTTCCAGAAGACCTGGGTTCAAGATCCAGCACACATGTGGTGGCTCATAGTTATCTGTAACGCCAATCCCAGGGACTCTGATGTGCTCTTCTGGCTTTGTTGGGTGCCACACACACAGAGTACACAGACAAACAGCCACTTTTCATACATAGAAACTTTCTTTAAACTGAAATGCAAACCTTGTGATGCTGTGGAATGTTTCTTATCCCTACAGCATGCTAGCCACCTCAGATGTCAGCAGGAGGAAGTGGCTGATTCCGGGAGCAGAGTACTCCATCTTCACTGGGCAGCCTCTGGACACCAGGGACAGGAAGACAGATAACCAGCTGGAGGAAACCACTGTTCCTGGGTGAGATAATGGCAAAGGTCTCTTGAGTGCGTTAATAGACATGCAGCTGTCTTGTGTAGGGAGGCTAGGGGAGGACAGCTAACAGTTCTTGTCTTGGGATTTCTGCCTTCTCTTTGAAGTTGGACCTGAGGTTCTTCCTGGATTGTGAAAGCCAGCTTGGAGGGCTGGAGGAGAGTAGACAGGGTTTGAATCAGCTGTCTTGCAGAAGTGGGGCTTTCCCATTGTGGAAAGGACGTGTCCATTCAAGATAGTGTCAATGAGTAGACACAGCTGGGTGACTGTCTTCCAGCAGCTCAGCTGTGTGAGTGTGGACAGGGTGCCTTGATGGAACTCTTGATAACCCTGTTCATCACCCCATGTACTGGGATCCTAGCGGGTGCCACCACACCCAGCTTTTACTGTCTTCACTTTTAGAACCTGATTTATGTGTTTTTGTTTCGTTTCATTTGGTTTTTGCTTGCACAGTAAAGCAGTCTTAGCGTTGGATCCATCTCCCCATCCCTGAAAGGCTAATGCTTTTAGGATGTTTTGCCTTCCTAGGCTTTGTAATGCTTCTCTGCCTATGCTCAGGGGAAAAGTGCAGGCTTGTCATTAGGACAACAGGCTAATCTCTCACTCTGGAATAGTCTGGGCAAGCTCAGCCATGTACTCTGGGTACCGTATAGATAGAAGTTTTTGCGTATGCTGGGATGGTTAAAGGACTAGGAAGCCCTGGCTTGCTATATGCACGAAATGTCAGCTCTCCTGTTCTCCCCCTGACTGTCCTAGTAAACTTAGCATGGTTTACTCCAACAAATGACATAGACTTATGTACATTTATGGATTTCTCCAGCTCAGGTGCCAGAGGTTTTGGAGAGGACTGTTTTCCTAGCTGTGTTTCACATGGCCTGCTCTTGGTGTACACCCGAGTGCTCTCCAGTTTCTCCTCTTTTTCCTTTGTTTTATGTGTTATTTTTCATTTTCAATTACCCGTGTGTGTGTGTGTGTGTGTGTGTGTGTGTGTGTGTGTGTGTGTGCATGTGTGCATATGCATATGTGTGTGAATTCCTGAAGCCAGAGGCTTTTTGTTTGTTGTTTTTGAGGCAAGTCTTGCTGTATGTCCCAGGCTAGCCTGGAACTTTTGACCATCTTCCTGCTTCAGCCTTTTGAGTGCCTGTGTTACTGGCATGTGTGCGCTGTCAGGCCTGTCCTTCTCTTTTTATAAGGACCTTCAGTCCCATTGTGGGGCTCTTCTCTTCTTACCTGTCTAGTCTCCATTTATTATTAAAGGCCCCAACTCCAGATACTTCCAGTAAGCTTAGGCTGTTCTCTGTGCATTATGGGATAGGGGACATGCCAATATTCAGCCCACAGCAGTTACAATTGCAGCTCCTGTTTTAGATACCATTCTCCTCCAGAAAAGGACTCTTCCCTTGGACGGTCACCAGCAAACTTACTGAGTAAAAAGCAGAGGGACTCTTCAGACACACCAGTCATGAAAGCTTTAAAGGAACTCGATGAAGAAAGAATATTTAAAAATTGGGGGACACAGACAGAAAAAGAGGATACCTCAAGTAGTAAGTATTTTTAATTTTAATTTAAGATTTATTGATTTTATTTTATGTCTATGAATGTTTTGCCTGCATGCATGAATGTGCAGTACATGTGCACCTGGTGCCCATGGAGTTATCAGATCCCCTGAAACTGGGGTTAGGAATTTTTATGAGCTGTTGTGTGAGTACTGAGAGGATTAGGTAAGAGCAATAAGTATTCTTAACTGATGAGCCTTCTTGCTAGATCCACCCCTAGTGGTATTTTATTCCTTGTTTGATGTTGAAAGAAAGAGTTGTCTGCTCTTTTCCTTAATTTATGTTATATTCTTTAAAATTAAAATTTCAGCCAGGCATGTTAGTGCATACTTTTAATCCCAGCACTTTCAAAACAAAACAAAAGACTACATGTGCTGGGCCATACAGGTATATAATCCAGTTATATGTCTTAAGGTAGAGGGTTGAAATCACAGCCTGCCTTGGCTACAGAGTGAGTTTGCCTCCATCTGTCTGTCTTACTTGCACATATTGGAAAATTGTGGCCATCATTTGATAGAGCGAGGAATGAGATGAGAAGGCCTATATATGCCCATTGTTCCAGCACTCAGAGGCCGAGGCAACAGAATCCACGGTGTCAAAAAATACAGAAAACCAAAAAGATCTTTTTTTTTTTTTATCTTCCTCCTTTTTTCTGGTTACTGAGCATCTGTAGAGAGGAAGAGGAAGATCTTTCCAGGTGTGCTTTTCCCCACATGTCTAGGTCGGTAGACCTCTCTGTCTGCCCTCTATCCCATCTCTTTTTGAGATAAGATCTCACATAGCCCAGGCTACCCTGGAACTCACTGTGTTTCTGAGGGTAACCTTGATTTCTGATCTTCTGCCTCCACCTCCCCAGTGCTGGGCTGACAGGTGTTCACCACTATACCTAGTTCTTTTGCTCCTTCTTCTTCCTACCATGCTTGCTTCTCAGACCTGCCAGGCACAGCCTCAGAGCTGCGGTGCTACATCCCACAGCAGTGTCTCCTAGTAAATAAATTAGTAATCTGCTTCCTAAAAATAAACTCTCTGTGAGCCTCACCTTGAATGCCAGTTGCACCAGGAAGCCAGGACGCATTCATTATAAACTCCCTCTCAAGCATTTTTTATCGTCATAATGCGGAACATTTGCAGATCATTTTTGCAGCCTAGATGAAGTGCTTTGAGCATGCACTCAGTGGAGGACCTTGTGCAGTGACAGCTGTGATAAAGCAGATGGTGGAAACCAGGTCTGACTTATTTTTGTGTGTGTTTGTCTGATGCAGAATTAGTGAATCCTCGGCAAACTGAACCTTCAGTCAATACAGGCCGCTCCCCAGAGAAATGTGCCCAGCAGAGACCAAAGAGACAGAGTTCAGCTTCACAAAGGTCGTCATCTCTCCCACCCTCCAATCGTAAAGCAAACACTCCAAGTAAGAGTTGGGGAGAGTGACTTTTCTCATATGTTTTTCCTCTTTCACTTTGCTGTCAGCTCCAGTAGAAGACGCTGAGCGTGAAGTCCTAGAGAATGAAATTGTCTGAGTGCACAGATAATAACAAATGTTAACTCTGAAATGTAGAGAAATTTTCATTTAGGACATGGCTGCTCTGGCAAGAGATCACATCCAAAGACCTAGGTCAGTGTGATCTGACTAGAATACAAACACACCTTTAATCCAGGAGAGAGAGGCAAGCAGATCTGAGTTCAAGTTTCAGGTAAAGAAAAGCTTAGGTCTAGGCATGGTGGTACATGCGTTTAATCTCATACAGAGAAGGTAAAGTTAGTTTGTAGAAGAAAGCACCCATGTTTGAAAGTGATCTCTAATTGAGTGGCAGAAAAAGAGATGAATCAGAGAAAAGTTTGACAGAATAGGATATGCCCAACTCTCAGAAGAGAGAGAAAAGGGAAGCTGCTTAAGGGGCAATTCAGAGAGGCAGTTTTACCAGAACTGTAACAGAGAGACAGATTGTAGAGAAAGAACACAGGTGAAAATGGAACAGACCAGAGAATGAGGAGTTAGAAGATTAGAAAAGATTGTTGGAGTTAGATTGAGGCCAGCAGAGTAATTCAGAGGCCAAGAGAGAAGCCAGATTGTATAAGTCAGCTGGGAGAAGAGTTTGAGCCAGGACAGCTGAGTTGAATCAGCCAGCCCAGAGCTCAGTAAAAACAAGTAAGGATGAGCTTATTCAGCAGTAAGCCTCAGAGACTGAGAACATTTTAGGCCTAGGTTAGATTGTACAGAGGCTAGAAGCTTCCGGGACTAGGCCTAGGTTAGCAGATAGGCAGTAAGCTTCCAAGACAACAATTGAAACAGGCAGATAAAAGTTACTTACATACAGAAACATCGTTTTATGCTAGGCCTGTGGGGGAGGTCTATCATCCCAGCTCGCTGGGAGGTTAAGGATCAAGATCAAGGTTCAAGGCCTGAGTACTGAATTCAAGGATAACCTGTAATTTAGCAAGACCGTGCCTTAAAATAAAAAGCAAAAACGTCTTGGGTTGTAGCTCAGAGCCTTGGCTTAGCATGGATGGGGTCCTTAGTACCATAAGCTTTTGAAAGTTTAGAGCGTGTCAATCACTTTAAGCACTAATTGAGATAATTCACAGAGGTCGGAGAAGATGCTCCTTGCATATTTGATCTGTAACCGGCCTCTGTAGCCTTTTCTCCCCACTTTCAGGCTTGTTCTAAAGCGTAAGCATTGACTTTCCATGTCCTCGGTGTCCATTTTCCCATCGGTTCAGGGAAGTGTGCATTTCCTGTGTTCCCAGGAGCAATCCTTACTGCACTGGTGCTTCTGTCTTATTTCCACTCGACTTCTAAAATCTTGAAAAACCAGTTTTGAGCCAGAGTGCTGAAACTATGGTCTGGTATGCTAAAATGTCAGCAGGGGTTGCTTCTCGACATTATAATTATTGGTTGTTTTATTTTCACTTTGCATGCTCCTCAATACCAACAAGTTTTGCTATGGAATTTCCTTATTTTTTTAAATTAGGAATAAGTTCTGCCAACAGAGCAGACAAAAATCACATTTCTTCTATGTTTTCTTCTTTAGCAAAAAGAGAGATTATGTTAACGCCGGTGACTGTGGCTTATAGTCCTAAGCGGTCCCCTAAGGAAAATTTGTCCCCAGGATTTAGTCATTTGCTTAGCAAAAATGAAAGCAGTCCAAGTCGGTAAGTTCTGTAAAGTTGTTGAATTAAATAAAAATACAGTATTGATTTAAAGACATTTTATTGATTTATCGTGTGTGTGTGTGTGTGTGTGTGTGTGTGTGTGTGTGTGTATGTACTTGTGAGTGTATGTGCTGTGGCGAATGTGTGCACATTAAGGACAACTTGTGGCAGCTGTTTTTCTCCTTCCACCACGTGGGTATGAACTCAGGGCGTCAGGTTTCAAGGAGGTGCCTTTACCTACAGAGCGATCTTACTGACCCCATTATTGATTATGAACCACCAATATGACTCTAGCTTTTACTGATTATTCAGTTGTCAGTGGGCCTCTGGCTTTAGGTCATTTATGTGAATGTCATATGAAAAATCAAGTATTATAATGTGAAAATAGTTTTTAACTATGGAAACTTGCTACTGCTAGTACCACCTCAGCACTTCATCAGATTTGAAATGTAGAAGAGGTTCTCTGTGCTCTTGATTCAGGGGCATTTTGGTGTCAGACAGTGTGTGTGAAGGTGGCATATATCTGCCTCTGGATATGTGCACTCCTGAAATAGGCCAGCTGTGAGTGAGGAACTGAGAAGGCCTTTGCCTCCTGGTTTAGACACAGTGGCTTAAGCACAGTGAGCCGCACTTTGGCCTTTTGAGTGAGTGGGGTTCTGTTGCCTGCCCTGCCTGTCCCGGAAGCTTGTCATGGAGGTCAGTGATGCACGACAGCCAACACTTTAAGTTTGTAATGTGGAAATAAAACTGGGTGTTAGGAAAGCCACATCCAATTTCAGCTCAGAAAGTCATATGACTAGCTTTCTCTTAAGAAAACATGTGATTGACTATGGAGGTGCCAGCTCAGCTCTCTAGTGAGATAGGAAAACTCACTTCATGTTTTTCTCACGAGTAACTTGCTTCATTCACTAGATTTGATATCCTTTTGGATGATTTAGATACTGTTCCTGTGTCCACGTTACAACGAACCAATCCAAGGAAACAGCTCCAGTTTCTTCTAGATGACTCGGAAGGTATCTTTTCCCAACAATGACTAATTACAGTTAGAGGCATTTGTTTCCCAAGATTATGGTGTCTCGGCAAGGTTCTGAAGACCGCCTCTACCTGAGTGCTCACTCTGTGCTTGCTGTGTGGGTGTTGATGGGCGGTTGGGAAGCTGGGGTGCAGTGCCGATTGTCATCACCAGGACCGTATTCTACAGCTCCCCTCTACGTACGTGTGTAGCTGATAAGTTGCTTAGGCTGTGGGTAATTTTATTTAACAATTTTCAGCCTGGAATAAATTTATATCAAGTCACTTCATATAATAATGTTAACTGTTTTAGGGTTCAGGGCAATTCTCCCAAATGTGATAAATCATTGTTTTTAAACTTTTCTTAAACTGAATAATATATCCATAAAGTTTGCTTGAGGTCATTAAGAGAACTTATTAACATTGCTAAACCTGGGGTAAACCTTACAGAATTCCTAAGTGATAAAGCACAGAGTAAATATTTTTCAGTTGGGGATGGTGGCTCACATCTTTTATTCTAGCACTCAGATGGCTGCAGCAGGAGGATTGCTGTGACTTGAAGGCTAGAGGCCATATTGGGCTACTTAGGAGTTCCAGGGCAGACTGGATTAGTACAGACCCTGTCTCAAGAAACCGGGAGGAGAAGAAAAGATGCTATGTGTTAGGCCACATAGCAGTTCCTTTCAGGAAGTGAGATTGAGCAGGATATTTAATATGTATTTGGTCTAATTGAAAAATTAATATGAAATATAAGAAATTTCTCTCTTTTCTGACAGGAAAAAAGTATTCAGAAAAAGCTAGTGATGACCCCGTTAATCATAGTTCTTGTCCTAACCCCTTGCCAAATGGAGTGAAGAAAGTGTCCGCGAGACAAGCCTGGGAGAAGAGTAAATCAGTTAGCCTCGAGCAGTGTAAGCCAGTGTCAGCAACGCCACAGGGTAATGATTTTGAATATACAGCAAAAATTAGGACCCTAGCTGAAACGGAGCGATTTTTTGATGAACTTACAAAAGAAAAAGACCAGGTAAAACAAACAAGATATTTCAAAAAATATTTTCTGAACCTAATACTTGTCTCTAGGGAATGTTGGAAGGGAATTACTGAGCTGGGCATGGTGGCATGTACCTGTGTCTCAGCCCTTGAGAGGCTGAGGCAGGAGGATCACAAGTTGAAAGCCAGCTTGGACAATATGGTGAAATCCCGTCTTCAATAGAAACAATAATCCAAACACACAAACTGAAAAAAAAAGTACAAAATAAGGATGTCCTAGTCACTGTTGTATTGCTGTGGCGATACCATGACCAACCAAGACAATTTTTTTTTTTTTTTGAGACGGGGTTTTCTCTGTGTAGCCATGGCTATCCTGGAACTCACTTTGTAGATCAGGCTGGTCTCAAACTCATTGAGATACATCTGCTTCTGCCTCCCAAGTGCTGGGGTTAAAAGAGTACACAACCATTGCCAGCAGACCAAGGCAATGCTTATAAAATAAAATAAAACATTTAATTGGGGTTGGCTTATGGTTTCAGAGGTTTAATCCATTATCATCTTGGCATGGAACATGGTAACATGCAGGCAGACATGGTGCTGGAGAAATAGTTAAGCATTCTACATCATAGCCAGGCATGGTGGGACATGCCTGTAATGCCAGCACTCAGGGAGGCATGTCATCACTGTGAGTTCAAGACCATCCTGATCTACAAATTGAGTTCAGGAGAGCCAAGGCTACACAGAGAAACCCTGTATCAGGGGGGAAAAAGTTTTACATCTGGATCTTCAGGCAGCAAGAAGAGCTTTTCTGACCTTGGCGTGAACCTTTGAAACACTCAGAGCCCACCCTTCTCCCCAACAAGGCCACACTTTTTAATCCTCTCAAGTGTTGCCACCCCCTGATGACTAAGCATTCAAGAATATATCTGAGTTTATGGGGAGCATTCTTATTCAAACCACCACAAAGGACATCGTTGTGTCAGACCTGTCCTAGGGAATTTGCCTTGGGTATAGTACTGTGGGGCACCAAAACTACACTAGAAATGTCCTTGAGCCACCATTGAGAGAACTTAAGCCAGAATGGACAAGAAAATGCCAAGCTGAAATCTTTTCTTTTCCATCTGCCTCAGAAAGCTCACTGCCAATAATTAGAATTCTTTGTTTTTATTTGAATACTTTCTCTTGTTAACAGATTGAGGCAGCACTAAGCCGAATGCCTTCTCCTGGAGGAAGAATCACTTTACAAACAAGACTTAATCAGGTGAGGCAGCCTAGCTAGGGGCTACAGTAGAGGCTGGATGCCAGTCAGTGCTTAAAGCACGGCATGGTCCACTGTGTTAGTTACCTTTCTAGGGCTGTGATAAAACACTACGACCAGATGCAACTTACAGAAGGCAAAGCGAAAGTAGGCAGCTGGAGCAACAGCTGAGAGCTTGAATTTGGAACACCAAAAAGGAAGTAGAGAGTGCAGTGGGGACGGCAGGAAGCTTTTGCAACTTTGTGCCCTCCACCCTTAACAAGGCCACACCTCCAACAAGTTCATGCCTCCTAATCCTTCTCAAATGGTTCCACCAACTGGGGACCAAGTATTCAGATGTGTATGAATCTGTGGGAGCCATCTCATTCACACCATCACAGTTACTAAAGCAGCAGTCAAACTGCAGCTTTTTTGCAGTCAGTATTTGATGATTATAGTTATTTTGTAGCTACATGTTTGCTGTCAGGAATACAATTAATTTTTGCCATTAGACATTAAGAAAATGGTGTTCTGCCAGCCACTTGTAGTGCACACCTTTATTTAATCTCAGCACTTGGGAGGCAGAGGCAGGGGATCTCTGTGAGTTCAAGGGCAGCCTGGTCTACAGAGAGGACAGCCAGAGATGCACAGAGAAAACCTATCTTGAAAAACCAGAAGAGGAGGAGGAGGAGAAGCCAAGTGAGATGGTACAAACCTGTAATCCCAGCACTCAGGGAGGCAGGCCAATTTCTGTGAGTTTGAGGCCATCCTGGTGTACAAAGTGAGTCCAGGACAGCCAAGGCTACACAGAGAAATCCTGTCTTGAAAAAAAGAAAAAAGAAAAGAAAATGGTATTCATGGTAGCAAACAGCATACGTTTTGTTGTTTGTTTGGTAACAAAAACCAGGGCCTTGAGCATGCTAGGGAGCCCTAGCCTCAAGGCCCAAAAGAATACCCATGACAGATTTTGCGTTGCTGAGTAAGTGCTGTCTCCTTTTCTGAGTGTTTGCTTGTCTTCCTCCCCTTCAATGACTTCTGAACCCCTTTCCATCTAGTAAGCACCTGAAAACAGTTGTGTTTTATAAATAGGATGGCTGTAGTGGTTGGAAAGACAGCTAGAGAGATGCAATTCCATACTCAGCACGGATGGTCAGGTTATATGATGAGCGTTTGCCTGCCTGTTTATATGTCACTAGTGCCCGGTACCTGTGGAAGTCAGGTCAATGCATGGCACGTCCATGGCAGTTCCCTTAACCACTGAGCCATCTCTCCAGCTAACAGACTTGCTTTTGAGAGCTACTTTAGAGGTTCTGACAGGGAAACCTCAGCTACTCTATAGCACTGATGGAAGACTGAACCTCCTTTATTTGGGGAAGGTTCTCTTTACTAAATGTACAGCCAAGTCATCTTCACATCCATGAAACTTGATTTATTGTTATTGTATGTTCATGTATATGATGTTGGGGGGGTATGCACATACCATGACATACAAGTTTGTGGGGTTAGTTCTGTCTTAACACCTTTTCTTATATCCCAGGCATCAAACTTAGGCTGTGAAGGTTGGAGGCAAGTAATCTTACCTGCTGAGCCTCTTACTCTCCCCGGTTCTGAAATTTTTTATTGAATAATTTATAAAACTTAACATAAGAAACTCACAATACTTTACTAGGAAAGCAGAGGGAAAATGAGATACTTCACTTCTAATTCAGTGTGAAATTCTTAGTGTATCTTATATAATGAGCATCATCATTCTGTTCCTGCAAGACTTCTGAAAGGGTGTTAGCTTCTCTTCATGAACATCACGTCACTAAGGAAATAAGTGGCAGCAAAAAGAGATTGAGGATGTGCTTAAGTGAAAAAGTAAAACCGGGCCCGGGGAGAAAAGTGTCCAGCCTCACTCCACAGTAGTGCTAGGGTAGTTACCTGTGGGGCTCGCACAGGCTTTATCTCCGGCTCAGTGGTAAGAATGCTCGTCCTGCTCTCAGCCTCACACTGAGAAGCAGGGATGATGGCTCACCACTTATCACTCCTGCACTCGGCAGGCTGAGGCAGTAGGAGGACCCTAGTCTCGAAGCTAGCCTAGGCAGTTAGATCCTGTCTCAAAAAGTAAGAAGGGATAGGGCTGCAGCTAGGATGGTAGAGTACTTGCCTAGCATGTAAAGGTCATGCCCAGGACACCCCCCACAACATATCACAAGATATGGTGATGCACACACATGATCCAGTGTTTGAAAGATGGAGGCAGGATCAAGGTCATCATCAACCACATATTGAATTCAAGGTTAGCATGAACTACTTCAGACTTGTCTTTATTTTTTATTTTATTATTATTATTTAAAATTTTTTTTTTTTTTTTTTCTCAAAACAGGGTTTCTCTTGTAACCTAGGCTGTCCTGGAACTCACAGAGATCCACCTGCCTCTGCCTCCTGAGTGCTGGGATTAAAGGCATGTGCCACTGCTGCCGCTGCTACCACCACCACCACCAGCTTTATTTTTTTTTTTAATAATTTAAATATTAAAAAAAATTTAATTTCATGTGCATTGATGTTTTGCCTGCATGTATGTCTGTATGTGTTGGAATGGGAACTAGAGTTTTAGAGAGTTGTGAACTGCCAAGTTCATGGAATTGGACCCGGGTCCTCTGGAACAGCAGCCAATGCTCTTAACTGTTGAGCCATCTCTCTCCAGCTCTAAACAATGGTTTGTTTTTTCATGACAAGAGTTTCTCTGTGTAACCCCAACTGTCCTGGAACTCACTGTATAGACCTGGCTGGCTTCAAACTCACAGAAGTCTGCCAGCCTCTGCTTCCCAAGTGCTGTAATTAAAGCGTGTGTCACCATGCCAGGCTCCTGGTTTATTTTTAATTCTTTAAAAAATTATTTCATGCTAGGTGGTGGTGCATGCCTTTAATCTCAGCACTTGGCATTGTTTTACCTGTGTGTATATCTGTGGCATGTGTGACTGGTGCTCTAGGAGGCCAGAAGAGGGTGTCATATCCTCTGGAACTGGAGTTACAGCCAGTTATGAGCCAACATCTGGGTGCTAGGAATCAAACCCATGTCCTCTACAAGAGCCGGAAGTGTCTTAACTGCTGAGCATCTTTCCATCCCCTACAGAGACCTGTGTTAATGAAAAGAGAGAAAGAAAAAAAAAAAAAAAAAAAAAAAAAAAACACCTGCTAATACACTTTTTAAAGGTCTCTTTCTCTATAATTGCATTAGCGGTTTTAGTTTTTGAGGTTCTTTGAGACAAGTCCTAGGCTCGTTTGGAATTCATCAGCTTTCTGCTTCTGCTTCACTGGCTCTGGGATTAGAAGGATTACCACCATGTCCAATTATCAGGTGTAAAATGTAGACAATGCAAATGCAAGTAGAAATCATTACAGGCTTTCTGGAATACAGAGTTTTGCATTTCTTTGAACCAAAGCTCTTCTTTTTTTTCAGCCTGCCAATGATTGCAAAGACAGTATTTATAGATACTGCCAAGAGATATGTTTAAGAAATGTACTGCGGCCTTATTTATAGTGTCCAAAATTAGAAGCAACCTAAATTTCTACTGAAAGATTCCTGGTTAAACGTGTTACTTGTGAAAGAACATTGTACATTAATTTAGGAGGATGTTGTTGGAAGACACTTTATAACATGCCAAGAAAGTTCAAAGGAAATAATATTTGAAACGTTCCATTCTAGTTTTTTCCTTTCTAAAAAGGAAATGCATATATATGAGAAAAACAGGGAAAAAGAGGTGGTCCTTCCCTTTGTTCATTTGTCTTCTCATTGTTCTACAGTGAACATTCATCATTTTATTAGATTGTTAAACATAAACATTTTAAGTTTTATTTCAGGATACCATTTTAGTTAATACAGGATAAATGATCTAGAATGATAAATATATATTCCAGGTATCATTAACTGCACTTCTTTATCATTAATTGTGAAGTCTTTCTTGGAGTCTCTGCTAACATTTTAAAGGGAAAAGTTTTTGTCAGCTTATTTGGAATATGTGTACGTGGCTCCAGCTGCATTCAGGATGACCACTTCTCTGCTGACCTGTGGAGAATACTTTAGGCTCTGCACATAATGCTGTCAGGTCATCAGCCCCCTCATGGCCGCAACGCTGTACAGAATTCCCACATGGCAAGCATGCCAAGTGCACAGGGAGTACTTAAAGTGCCCTGCTCATTTGGAAGGGCTGAGAAGCCAGTTCACTGTTGAGTTTAAGAAAAATCCTGTCAATAAGGTAATTTGTGTAGAAAGCACAATCTGCTGTTTTGATGTGTATACTTGCTCACAACCTGAAGATCTGTAGACCTGGAGGACTCCATGTGGATTCTCATGATACCTTTCCCATTACTTTTACCTAGGAAGCCTTGGAAGATCGCTTGGAAAGGATCAATCGTGAACTGGGTTCAGTTCGAATGACACTCAAGAAGTTTCATGTCTTGCGCAGTTCTGCAAATCTTTAAGATTGGTAGCCATTAAATTTGAGACATTTTTATTTGCACTAATGTACAATTATGTACTTGGAAAAGAAAAGCTCTTTTGTACTGTTTATAAGCCTTCAAACAGTAGTTTTACAATCATGCTACTCTTACACTTGCTATTTTATACTTCAAATGGCCACATATTTTCAAGATATTTTTGCTATGCTCAGGAACCTCTTGTATATTTTACTATTTAAAAAGCATTATTTTTAAATAGTATTATGTCTTCAATTTCTATCAACAATAAGAAAATGTAAAAAGTGGAGGCAGCTTGTTTCTAAAGAAATAGTGTTATCCTTTTACAATGAACTTTGCACATCAATTTTATAAACTTGTTCTACATTGTAAATATAATTCATTTTGAAAATAAATGCTTGATAGCTTCTATAAGGATAGGCTAACATGCTGGACATTTTAAAAAAATATAGTATAGTTTGCATTTAGGTTCTGTAGAAGTTTTTAAGAAATGATAACACAATTCCTATGTGAAACATATGCCCTGTAGTGAATAGTAGAATAATTGGGCCAGCAAAATGGCTCAGCAGGTAAAAGTGCTTGCCGCCAAGCCCAGCGACCAGTTTTGAGCTCCATTATTCACAGGTTAGAAAGAGAGAAATGACCCCTGTAAGTTGTCCTCTGACCTCTACAGATACACTGTGGCACGTTCCTGCCCTTTCCTACCCCAGTAAATAAGTCAATATTTTTAAAAATTAGTAATAATTTCAGTGTTGGAGAGTTTAAAAACTACATATAACCTATTTCTCCAAAATATTTTTATTTGTGAGGAAAGAAAAAAGAAATCAGAGATAGAAAGCAGCAGGTGAGCACTGGAGTTTTCTGTCCATCATCCATGATTTAAGTTATGTCACACCTTGGACAGTTTCCAGGGCAGCTTCCCTTTCCATTAAGCCCATAGCTTAGCTCCCAAGGTGATCATACAGACATTTTCACCTCACCTGACCCACCATTCCACCCTTGCCAAAAAGAAACGTAGCTGCTGTAATGACTGTTGGTCTACGCCAAGAGCACTGTATAATCAGAGCACTGCCTGATAATAGACAGGGCGGTGTCCAGAGAGAGCCTGGAGCCTTTGCCCAGGGCCTTGCTGCAGACTGGCCCACCACCTGGGCTCCCTAGCTCTAAGAGCACTGTGTGGGCAGGAGAAGCTGTTCTGGTCTAGGAGCAGCAAGTACCCTGCTTGTGTTGGGACTGTTGGTGATGTCTGGGCTACTCTCCCACTTACTTTCTGCTGACCAGTCTGAACCTAGCACCCACATATTTGTGCTCAGAATCTGCAGATAGACTCATCTGAGCTCTTATCATTGATTTCCAGGGCCAGTGCTCAGGTTTTTGATTTGGTTTGCTTCTGAGTTCTTTCTCCATATGTAGCTTTTCATGTGTAGTTACAATGAACCAAGGCATCCCAGCAATTCTGTTAGGTGTGTATGCCTCAGCAGGATTTCAGGTGGTCTTTGAACAGTTTCTCACCAAAGCTTCACCTGGTGATAGGCCTGGGCCCTGTTCTACTTGTGGGGACTCTCAGGCAGGAGGGGACCCTGGAGATGGAACTGAACCTTTGAGTTTATCTTCAGGAGCCAGCTCAAGACTAATCAGGATTTCTTATTGTTAGAAGCAAGTGCCTTTATTCTTGATTTTTCTTTTAGCCTTTTAAAAATTGTTAGAGTTAAATAAATAAATAAAAAGGTTCATTTTAATCAAGCTTCTGTACAGCCTTTGTCTAGCGCTCATGCAGGGATAGTCTGTTTTTAAATATGACCCTGTCTCTGTGTGTGACAGGCAGAACTAACAACCCAGGAGTATAACAGGCGCAGTGGTAGTGTGCTTGCCTCGCATGTGAGGGCACAGGCTTTGCCCCAGCACCAACAAACAAGACTACTTGAACAAGCTGACAATGTTTTCGTAGATCTCATTGTTCCCTTCTTTTATTGTACAGTCTACTACATTCTCAAGAAGAAGGAAATTACCACTTCAGATGAGGTGGTGGCTTTATCTTGCCAAGGAGTTATCTTCTTAGGTGCCTATAATTGGCTTATTCCAAAAAAGGCATTAAGTGCCATCAAAACATCTGTGCTTCTCAGAAAGCATATGCTTTGGTTTTTGAAGTGTGTAATAGATTTAAACTATCAGTTACTTACTTGAAAAAGAAATTTTATTCTTTTCTTCTTCATAGCTATGAAGAAAGACACCAAGAAAAATTCTTGCAGTTGCCTCTCCCCTTAGTAATGCATATGTTATGAACACTCAACTAAAAAGCAACTGAGCCTAAAAGCGGGAAGGGTAGCAGTCTTAAAGAGCATCTGTTACCCAAGATAGGCAAACTGTTTCTGTGCTGGGATGTGCATGCAGCTAGTTAAAAACCAACTCAGTGAGCCTGCAGCTTTTGGGAAGTGCCTTTTAAAATGTATATAGAAAGTGAATTCTCCCACTATGGAGATCTGTCTCTTCCTTCTCAAAACCAGGAGCCACAGGGGATGGCTCCAGGTAAAGCATTAGCACTAAAGTGCCGCTGCTGGGGAAGGGACTTGGAGCCAGCCAGACCCAGGTCACACCCTGGCTCTGGCCTCCTTTCCTCAGTGTAAAGACCAAATGATAAGGAGATACCTTTCAGTTCAGACAGGCCAGTGTGTAGTAAGCGTGCACCAAACAGCATGTTTTAGATTTATCAGTTACTGTGATTTCGAGATAGTGATTTTTTTTTAACTGATTGATTATTTGTATTTTATGTGCACTGGTACTTTTCCTGCATGTGTGTCTGTGTGAAGGTGTCAGATCTCCTGGAACTGAAGTTACAGGCCGGTGTGAGCTGCCATGTGGGTGCTTTGGGTATTGAACCCAGGTTTTCTTTAAAAGCAGCCAGTGCTTTCAACTACTGAGCCACATCTTTCCAGCCACACATATATATATATTTAAAGGTATACTAGGGCCTTGCACATGCTGGCTAATTCCACCACTGAGCTTTATATCCCAACTCAGTGATTGCTTGTTAAAGTTGATGATTTGCTTCAACATTGGAATGTCATTTTTATTAGGTGGTCTGTGTATTCTTTGCTCATTTATAAAAATCAAGGGTTTTCTTGCATTTTAAATGAATTTTCTTGGTATACTATTTACTTATTGGTTGACTAAAATTGTAAAAAATTAACTCATCAAATGTAAATTCGGAAAGCATTTTGATCTTAATTGATGAATGGGATTTATTGAGTATAAATATTGGCCTTTTTCCATTATAGTTTATTGTTGTTTAACCAAAATAACTTTTCCTTCAAATGTTCCATTATTAGGCCCTTTAAGACAGTGGACCACCTGGAAGAGGTGCCTGTCACTGAGTGTTAGACTTAAATGGATTTCTAACCATTGAGAGACTAATGTTTCACTTTCAGCCTAAAAAAGCCAGGTGCTTTGCTAAATGCTGCTTGTCTTGAACCCTGTACCCAAATGTGTCGTAAAACCAGACATTTATATCATCTTAGGTTTCACATGTCTCAAGAAAAATTTTCACTAATTTTAAATGTGCCACTTCGTAGTGCAAGTCTATAAGATCCTTAAAAAAGTAAGTCACGGATAGACTTTCAGTAGTCATAAAGGGAAATCGTATTCGTCAGTGGATCATGCATACTTTTAGATGTTTTGAGTCTGATTAAACCCCTGGTATTGCACAGGTTTTGCCAGAAATTATTTCCTGCCCTGCCAAGGAGCAATATGAAATTTAATACTTTGCTAAACTAGTCCAGTACTCTTAGAACTCACGAAAAGCCTTTCCCCATCTGATATGCTCTTTATTTCACTAGAGACCTCAGATACATGAGGACTCAAGCCATACCTTTGGATTTGTTAAACTATGCCTTCACTATGACTACAGATTTCAAATTCTATTTTCCTTACGTTGTCACTTTTCACTGTAACAGAGACCTATAATGTGAAAACAGTTGCTACATACAGTGCTGCTGATGGTCAGATGAGTGCTGGTTGTGGTTGTCTTTTGAAATCTGGTCAAACGCTGGAGTAATAAAGTTGTACGCTCCATGAGAGCAGGGACCATATCATCTTCCATCGTGCATCCAGGCACTCAATAAATATTTGTGGACCTGAGCTTTCGTGGTATCTCAGTTTATTTATACTGGCTGTGAGAGCTTGCTTTTAATGATGGGCTTCAAGTCCCAGGAGCTGCTTGGTTTGGTTAACAGTCACGGAAATACAAAAATTAATACAGAAAGTCAATTCCAAGGAACCGGTAGCATAGAGCCTCACCCTAGGGATGTGTGTCTGTGTTTCTAAATGCACGTTTTGGTGACTCCAGAGCTGGAGTATTTAATGGACACCTTCACTTGTCTGGGCGTAGGCATCATGTTCTGTCAATTGCCTTTCCTAACCCTTGCAGTCTCTGCTCCTACGGGAGGAAATGAACACCTGGTGTGGTCCTCTGCTCGCTGGCTTTATCTGGATACTGTCTTCCAGGCAGTGTCTAGGGGAGCAGTGGTCTTTCTCTCTCCCTTGCCCACATAGTCAACCATTGCTAGGCGTTAGGTTGTGCGCCTCTTGGTTCCATGACTTCAGGTTTTAACCAACAGGGTTGTCCTTGTGCAACCCACCAAAAAAAAAAAAAAAAAAAAAAAAAAAAAAAAAAAAAAAAAAAAAGCCTCTTGATTTAAATTTTAATGTGGCAACCGGAGCCTCCTATGGGAGAGGAGCATCAAGATGAAGCTACTTCGGGACCCATCCTGCTCTCTGGGAGGTGGGGACCTTAGCTGCACACCCTGTCAGGCGGCCAGTACTCCCTCTGCCGATGGCCAACAGGCATGTTTGTACTTTTTCCCGCCCAGAGTCTTGTGGAAAGGGACTCGACGGCAGTAGGCAAAGACCTCGGCTTTTCCACACGGATCCGGCGCTGGCCTGCCCCAGGCTTTCCAGCGCCCAGGGGCGTTCGCCACAGTGTGTCCCTTAAGTGCGTCGCCTGACCCCCGAGGAGTTTAATCCAAAACAAAACCCCAAAGCCGCCAGCTCCCGGCTTCCTCCCCGGGCGCAGCCGCCCCTCGTCCTCCCTCCCGCGCGCGGGCTAGGCTGTGCGGGGCCAGAGTAGGAGCCGCTCTTCCGGCGCAGGCGGCCCGGCTCCTCCGCGACGCGCCCCCGCCGCTCCCCCGCGCGGCCTGAGGAGGCGCCGCCCGCCGCCGCCGCCGCCGCCGCCGCCGCGACTGAGGGAATGCGAGCCGGGCCGGCGCGCGCGGGAGGCAGCGGCCGCTGAG